ACTACTTATAACCACTAAGGCGGCTTACATCAAGGTTATTCTTCAGAGCGAGGTTTTCGGCCAACTTCGCAAAGTCCGTCTCGGAGTCCATGTTACTGGCGGATACGGACGAAGGACTACTCAAATTCGAACTATGCGCTGAATCCGGCAAAGAGCTAAGTTCATCGCAGCCGGGCAGCTCCAGTCTTAAAGGCTCGCGGTAGACGTCATTTATGTGACTGATTGGCGCTGGACCGCGGCCGAACTCTAAAACACAGGAAACAGTGGTGAGAAATGGTAGATGCGCACCTAACGTAGAACTTTTTTAATATCATACCTTCGAGTGGGTTGAAATCTTGTACCGGCGATTCAAACATCAGGTCGGAAATACTGGATAAAGAACTGCTGCAACTGGAAGCTTCGTCAGGGCTGGAATCATCGCTTTCGTCTGCAGAGAAAAACGGTTTTACATAACCTTAAGGCAATGATCACAATAAAACGGCTCATATACGCAGCCATTTAAATATATTCCATAAAACTATTTTAAGTCTTCTGCCGCGGAATAAGGACAATGATCAAAATTTGAGATGTCGTGAAAAAAGAAGTACCACGAAGTACATTATTATAAACAGCCACTGAGCCGCGAAAACCTATCAAAGATTTTGAAAAGGCAGGTCATCGAAGTTCTGGTGATGATTTCATGTCTTATCACAGTAAAGTCCGATCTGTTTCATTTTCGTTACTGAAAATATCATCTGCAAGGATCTTGTACTTCAATGACACAGGATGGCAAATTTTCACACTATATATTTCATTCAGCTACTCCAGATCGAAATCACTAATCTTATGTTCGCTAACCCCTTTGCAGATATTGAATTTAGCGACGAACACCAGGTGAACCCTGTCGCAATCACTATATGATAAGTTGTGTAATTGAGCATACATGTTCTTCATCTTACTTATAATCTACCAAGATTTATCGAGTTGTCTTTGATCTGAAACAATGTCCTTCCGTTTGGCACGAGTACTTCTTCGGATGGCGGTGCTACGAATTCACTATGGCCAGCCGACTGCAGATATAGAAGTCACAATTTTCACACTTTTCATTGGTCTGATCCAACCAGCTTGGCCTATTATTCCAGTCAATGTTATTCCAATTCATAGCCTTGCATTTGTCACTTCTTATTACAAGCAAGTGATGCCTCAGAAGATGTCTATCTATTAGGTCTTGTAACATTCTGCTCATGTCCACAGAACATTCATTATCCTTAAACTGTTTTCCTTATCCAAGAGGTAAAGCCTATATTTAGACTAGATGTTGTCAGTTATTGTGTTAAAGAATATATTGATCATGGCAAGCAGACCTGACTGCACAAGGGGTTAGTTGTGGCGTTATCAGTCTGTTCTTGCAGTGATTTCCGTACCGCATCTGAAGTTGCAGCGATGGTTTTCTTTAAGCTTACATGATGAGACCATTTCTGACGACCCTTATTTTATGGTGGGACGTTGGTTTCAATTTAGAAAGCCATCATCCAAGCGCGCCTTATTTTTAAAGGCAGAGTCTACAGTCATGTGGCAAACGTAGAGTGTAGTCTCTTGCGTTTGAAGTTGATGGGTGCCAGCTATCTTCTTTTAGAATCTAGAAGACCGTCAGATTTACTGATCACTATCCGTCCACGTGGTCAACAGGAGGAACATAGTGCCAACAAGTTAGCGATAACATCTGGCATAACATCTGGCGATGATATG